ACCAAGCTACCAACTCCATTAATAACAATCATCACAATAACGGTGCAACTGGACCAGTTAGCAGCAGTCATGTTAACTTCTCTTTGAATGAAACAGCAGCAAGCAGTAAAGGTGTAGTTAGGCAGCCTAGCCTTCCAAGACAAGGCTCGCTTACGCTTCCTGCACCGTTGTGTCGGAAGACTGTTGATGAAGTTTGGTCTGAGATACATAGAGTGCAACAAGGACAAGGACAGAGTAATAACAGCAACTTGCAGAACGCTGAGAACACCAGTACTCGACAGCCAACCATCGGACAAATGACCTTGGAGGATTTCTTGATTAAGGCAGGTGTAGTTCGGGAACCATGCCTGCCACCACCGCAACATCAGCAAAAGTTTGGGTTGCATCAGGCTAGCAATGACCCTGCGGTGGGTACGAGTTTCATTCCCAGGCCAATTATGGGAATAGGTGGCAGTGATGGCTTTAATGGGAGTACATACCAGACAATGCCTCCAGGTGGAGTCCTTTGTGATTCATCAGTGTATCTTAATGATGGTAAGAGGGGTGGCGGTTACCAGTCAGCTGCTCCACCACTGTCGGCAGCCGTCTGTTATAATGGGAAGGTAGCCACAGCTGGTGGCTATGGACCAGGACAGGCAATGGGAATGGTGTCACCAATAAGTCCGGTATCACCAAAAGGGATGTGTACCAATCAAGTTGATATTGTAGCCACTCAATTTGGTATGGACATAGGTGGACTACGAGGAAGGAAAAGGATCATTGATGGACCAATAGAAAAGGTAGTTGAGAGAAGGCAACGCAGGATGATTAAGAATAGGGAGTCAGCTGCAAGGTCTAGAGCTCGAAAACAGGTACTACCCCTACTTTATATAATTCATAGTTAGACTGTGTATGTATGTTTTCAATGGCTAAGAAAATTCTGAACAAATGCTACTTTGTAATCATCTCATACTATTCAATATATATATATATATATCACAATTATGTAGGTTACGTATCACAAGTACAAAGGTTTATACAATAGTGATTAGGCCATTAACTTATGTGATTGATAGTTTCGAGTTGTTTTTGTTATTACCAGTAATGGTTCATGTAGAAGTGACCACTGTAATTAGTTGCAACTCTAAAAGTACCAATTCTTATAAGATTGGTAATGTTTACAGGCATATACAGTAGACCTGGAAGCAGAATTGAACCAATTGAAACAAGAGAATGCTCACCTTAATCAGGCTTTGGTAACACTAATGTTACTTATCTTTATTTCACAAAATTTCAGGGATCTTCGTGTAGCTTCTGTCATGTATGATACGCAAGATCTAAACTCTCATTTTACTTGCTTTTCAACAGGCGGAACTCGAGAGGAGACAGAAGCAACGAGTAAATCAATCCACAACTGAACCAAATGAATGGAGAAAATAAAAAAATTATGTTAGGGCAACATGCAAGAATAGGTAGTATAAGCATTGACGGCAACATGCATCCAGTCAAGAAGCATTATACTAGATATAGTTTTTGCTTTGTTCCTAATTTTGTTGGTACCTTCTTTTATCTCTTGCAGTGCTTTGAGGAATGGACAATGGAAACACAAACCAAATCCAGAGCTAAAGAGAAACTAAGAATAATAAGGAGAAATCTCAGTTGTCCATTGTAAACCAGAAAAGAAGATGTCAAGGTAAATCTTTCAGTTTTACATCATTTTCTTTCTTTATTTTCTTATGCTCCAGAGTGTAAAATACATGGAACCTGCAGGCATCGATAGAACTCTAAACCAAAGACATGGAAACATTGGGATGAAGAAAATTTGACTCAAGCTGAAGCACATCAACCTCAAAATACATAAGAGACAGCGGATATCTCCGGGAAGACTTTTGGAAATATGATTTTTATAAGTGATCAGATTCTTAAGTCTAAACTAATTATATGTATATGCTTTAGTACTTACACAAGTCTGTAATATCTCACGCACAGTATGTCATTGCATGTGTACTATCTGTCTCAAATTTGGGCCAGTAGAAATGATGGTCTCATTTCTTTGCTAGAGAACAACAGGAAAATGCACTGGCATATACCTTCAAGCTAACAATATCAGTAAGAGCGTTTCCCACTGAAATCTACAAGTCAAACCCCTCCACCATAACTCAATGGAGACGTTTCCCAAAATTCAGAGCCTTAATGTTGCACAAGGACTTAATAAGCAATTACCTTTTGAACCTTATTATCATAAGCTAACAATGCACTCCCAATCAGCATATTCGTCAATCAAAGCAGTGCACACGATCTCATCTTTGAAGTCCATTTCTTGGAAAACTTAATAAGCATTAATCATAACTCCGCACTTCGAATACAAACTGCTACCAACAAAAATATAAGAACCAAACCCAAATTTCAACGCGAGGCAATGCATTTGCTTCTAAAGAGTTGAGAGCCTCCACTCTAATGGAATGTTGAGATGACCTTACCTTGGAAGTTCGGTTGATTTTGGGACGTCTCTTACTCTTGTTCATATAGTGGAAAACTCCCCTTAAAGAGAAAAATTATCCTTTTTCCGTGTCTTACCGCGGTAAGGATACCTCCCACCAAAGTTCTGCATGGCTGATGAGTTACTTCTTTGGGCCAAAACTCCAAAATAAAAAGAAACAGCAACTCTCTCTTTGTCACCGGAGATGGACCAAAAAGTAAGAAGTTTTCGTTGCTCCTCTGCAGCATGAATACTCCCCACATTATTCGCACTGAGAAAAAGGCGAGAATCCTCTGGTCTTTCCAGAGCGTTGAGATGTGGTAACATTTCATGGGAAAATGACAACCTCCGTAAAAATATCACGTGGAGTACTGAGAATGATGTTGAGAGGAATCTGTCCCTTTCCATTTCATGGTTTACGTCTCTATCTAAAGCATTAAGAGCTATGCAAAAATGAAATCTTCGTCCATGACTAAATTAGAGCATCTGAGCGACCTCAACTACATCCTAAGCAATGAAACTCTCCACAAAAAGTACACTACATCATCACCTTTACCTGAAGAGCCAAGAACTCTAAAGAAAGAAACCCTTAGCCCATAACATATATTTCTAATTCTATGTAAAGGCACTAAGGATTTTATGCAAAAATGAACTCGCCCCGTCGCATAAACCTCCACAACGAAGCATTGAAAACCTACCTCGTGCGAAAAACTAAAATATCTGTGTCTAACGTTGAAGGCCACTAAATGAAGAAACTCCTACCACTAAACATGACATATATGTCTATGCTCTTTCATGACGCCTGGGAAAAACAAGTGTCAAAACTTTTACGTGAAGATGCATTCACGATTCTAATATAAGCCTCTGCGCCTAGCGTTAAGGATTTCACGTAGAGAAAACCTATCATCCTTGTACACACCCCCACATTTAGCATTGAGGTCCTTCTGAAGAGATCTCCATCCAACGGTAAAAACCTCTGCATGATGGGTTAAGTTTCGAGTCAAGTCATTTCCTGACATTCTGATGCAAGGGGTTCCGAGACAGATGATGCTGAGCTGTCAGATTGCACGTTGATGGCGCTGAGATACCATGAGTTGGCAGATCAGCGCAAAGGCGGGAATTGATTGTGACATGTTCCTCATTGGGGTCATTTTGAGTATGTTTCAGTCTTTTGGCCATAACTTTGGCTACAGGTGTCAGAATCGCGCATAAAACCCCAATCCGGAAAGCTCTTTTCGACGCGCACGCTCTCCACATTGAGATACGCTCCATGTGACCTTTTTTTCAACCTCAAATTCTGCCGTTTTCCCTTCCGGATCACTAGATTTAGTTATTTTTTACTATTTATGGTAATATTTCGATTGTTAATTAGGAAGTCAATTTAAATCCGATTTAGGCCGGATTTTTGGGAGATTGCTTATTTTATTTCGAATTTCAATTTAGAGTGATTTTCGGGATTTTGCTATTTTTGGCAAAATTCGAATAAAGACGATTTTTGGCTATAACAGTCCGACTTGTGGACTGTTTTTTGGATTGTTTGATTTTATAATATTTTATTAAACCCTAGAGACTTTTTTCTCTGATTTTTGGGCGAATTTTCTCTTGTGAATCGTCTGTCGGAGCTAGCCTACAGGATAATCACTATTCTGTCTGGCGTCACATTCCCCTCAATTTGTTATACCCCATAACCTTTTCGTCCACCCGAATCTATAATCAACTTACATCTCCTAAAAATACAGACCTCTAATTAACTATTGTGTGTAGACAAAACTTCTGATAAATAAGTCTTTTGATAGATCCACGTGATGTGCCAAAATAAAATTCAAAGTCTAACTACCATATCTACTTACTAAAAACCATGAAGACCTACGACTAACACATACACTAAAGGCCTCTATAAATACTTCAATCAAAGTTGGAAAAAGGGGTGAACCACCCATAATCAACTGACCATCTTTCTTTTTCCTTATGATCATCCACTCTCACTCTCCTTTAAACATCAGTCAACAATCGTTCTGATCGACCGCAGCTCTTCATCCAAAACAAAATAGGTAAACCGCGCACGACTAATGAACCTAACTTATTCTTATCAATTATTCCAGATATATATTTTAATTTATTTGATAAGGGTTGATCGGGACCTATGTCATCTCTCCCAAAACGATTCTTTAGTATCAAGATTACGCAACTCTTATACCTAAAATGAAGTTTCAAGGTATAATTATATTCATCGAATCATTAACAAAGCTCAATCCAATTAATTTATGTAATCATTTTTATATAGTAAATTTGGTATTCAAGTCCCAGCACATTGATACAATTCCAATTCGGGCAATGACCATTATGCATAAATAAAAGGACATGCCCTTTACATTCGCAACTTAGAGTAGAAATCATGTTCAGGTCAGCAACACAAGAATCTTTGATTGATTATATAAGGTACCATGAGGCATGAACAAACACATGTTAGAATTAGTGAGTTGAGGATATGGTTAAAGAATTACCACCCAAAATCACATAAAACTCATACTGTAAAAGAAACCAACACACGACATTACCAACATCAGCCGGTTGGCATTTCGGGCCATTTACCTCCAAGCTTCAGAAAGCTCGGCTCTTGAATTTATGCGGTTGATAATCCGTGTTCCCTTGTTCTTCTGTTCGGGTCCTGATTCACATTCCGTTGACAGTTCATTCGCCTTCTTCGATCCCTTCTTTTGGCTTGGTACACTTGATGGACCATTCCTGCGCTTTTCTGATATACTCCGGTTACCGCCTTCTTGGAGATCGTTCGTTGAAGTTTTCACTTGCGAAACTACAATGCAAGGACGATTATCAACCGGAAATCGATTTCCAGCACAAGTTAGGAAACTTTTCGAGTTATTTCTAGTAGCCATCGGATTCTCTGCAGCGGAATGTGCAGGGCTCTCTATTGCAGGTTCTTGAGCAACAAATGCTTTCTCTCCTTCACTCTCGTTTTTAATCTTGTTATTGACATCTTTGTGTAGTTGTGCACAAATTTTCGGACCGTTCTTAGCGGAAGGCTCTAACGGAGAAACGGGAGTAGTGTTTACCGTAGAATTATCTCTTTCTTTGAGAGCACTAATAACAAGTGTCTTGAGAAAATTCATCACCTGGACCGCATGCATCAATGCAGTTAAAGGATCTGACACCTGCAACAAACAGCAGTAATATATCACATTTGAATGACAAAGCCTTATCAACTACATAAAATTGGTTCAAATATCAGTAACCAAAGTTCGACATCTGAAAGATATTAGGCTCACTTGAGTCATGTTTGGAGCGAAAACCATGGCCACATTTCGCGCATTCATCTTGTTCAGATGTTCCAGTTGCACAACATCAGCCATCAAATTTATTGCCCAATCGAGAAGAGCAGCTTCCGTTGGAGGAAGAAGCCTTACAAGCTGAGCACACTCTTCCTCGGACTGTGATTTTATTACCAGCTCTGGGGGAAGAGAGTCCAAAACACCACTAGGAAGTTCCCTAAACCAAGCCTGCAGATTTATGAAACCCATCAACCATATGCAAGATATCAGTTCAACACGAGAAATCCAAGACAGCATTCTCAGCATAAAACACACACACACACACACACACACATATATATATATATATATATATATGCATATACAAAGATAATACCTTTATAAGACCTGCCAAGCAATGCACGTCTATCCCATCTGGTATTATTCCTCTATTCAGTTGCTCTCTAACATACTCGTCATGACTGTTCTCAGCATTAATTCTGAAAATCCCTTCGGCCTAAAGAAAAAAATACAAGAATTTAGTTATAAAAATTTGGATACGGATAATCAAAGCAATTTTGCAGCAATTGTAGAGACAGGTGATCAAATACCTGGAGGCCTCCTTTGGCATATAAATGGCTTTGCATCAGCAGTAGTATTGTTGGCACACTGTTTCCCCTAGAGTCGAGGGAGAGCTGCATAGATTCAGTTGAAACTCCGAATACACTGGCACTGCATAACAATGGCGTCTTAGTTAATGAAATGAAATGGAATGCTGGAAAAGACTGAAAGAAATGAAAGGGGATATACTAGAACCCTAGCATCCGCAACATCATTGTACGAATGTGATACAAAGAATTCAGAAAATAAATTCAAGAAGATAGGAATATTAACCAATATAACCAAAACCCCAGGAATTTTCTGCATTGACAATCAAAAACGAATTGAGGAAGAAGAAAGAGGAAAGAAAAGGAAAGAGGGTTACCTAGCACTTGGAGGTTTCCTGTGGATCTTGGGTTCAAATTCAACCGGTAAACCAAGGAATCCATTGAATCTATCAAAAGTGACATGAGAAACATGCTTAACATTGGTAGGCAACCCAATTTCCATTGAACAAAGCTCTTTACTCCCGGAAAGGGTACACCCGATCAAAGACTTCCTAAAAGCGGTGATCAAAATGGTAATTAAAGGAAGCTGGTGGTCCTCTTCTTTGTCCCTCGGTTTCCTCTCCCCCTCTTGCTTGCTGTCACTTTCTTGGGCAATCATGCTGACGGAGGTGGGGCTTGATGGTGAAGAGAAGTGGGATGAGGTTGATTGGAGCACTTCAGTCATTGTGTTTTCTTTGTTGGGGACAAGAATTTACAGTCAAGAAACAACCCTTTTTTCTATGATAATATTGGGTTTCTTTGGCGAGGAAAAAAACACTTAACTCGACAATGGGACGTCAAGATTTGATGTGGAGGTGGAGTTTGATTCAAGGAAGGATTTTGGAAGGTGGCAGGCAACTATCATCATTTCATTTCAACTCTTTTTATTATGGATTGAGGATTCAATAAACAATGTTAAACGATTGAAATTTTAGTTGAGGATAGAGAGAGGGAGGTGGTTACGGGGGGAAGAAAGAAAGAAGAGGTTCAGAGAGGAAATAGGGAGAGAAAATGTACCACCTTCGTTCACCTTCTGTTCCATGAAACAAATAGAGTGCGCTGTTTCTCTACACTTAACCTATCTTTAGGTTTCGTCTCAACAGCCAATGGAATATTGCCATCTCAGAACTCCTTTAAGGCTTTCTGTTTTAGTAGCTTCACAGTTGACTAGTTAGTGACCTTAGAAAAATAATGATTCAATCTACCTAGGACAAGACTATGGATAGATTCTCATGCTACTCAACATCTGCCATCACTATAATACATGCGGCTAAGGTAAAAATTATAGGGATACAACAAAGAAGAGTGTCTAAAAACTAGAATAAAAAATATTTTCTTCAACCTTAAGAAATCTGAAACATCCTAACCACCAAAGAAAACGATTTTTTGTCTTATCCCGTCAAGATAGATCGTCTTTAATCATCGTGTCTCACTTATCCCCAAAACATCTGATGTGGTGAGCGTAAACCACTTTTGACCCTCAATGAATTAGTCATGATAACTAATCTACAAGACCAAAACCTTAATCAACCCCTTGGTTCTTATGGCCAACAATCCAACTCTACAAGTCAATATTATTATAACTTTTAGAGGGTGTTTGGTTTAGGTATTATGAGATTACTGGGGAATGGAATGTCATTATCTCGTTTGGTTGGCCAGTAATCATATTCTTCGGTAATCTTTTATTTCCAACAGTTGTATTTTTTAGGTATATTATCGGGAATGTGATTACCCATTCCCTTAAGTATTGTTGAAGTACCGACGTTTTGGACTAAAATGCCCTTAAATTTTTTTCTTCAAAAATATCCTTCTTCTGTAGTTGAATAATAAAAATTATACGAAAGCTAAATTACAAATTTATCCTTAAACTATTTTAGATTTACAAAAAAATCCATAATTAGAATTTCATATGAAGTTCAGAGATTAAAATAAAATTTTACCCTTTCATTAAACCTATTTATCTTTTTAATTTTGTAAAAAAAATATAAATTTTATGAATTTAAAATTTTAAAGAAAATATATAAATTAATTATAGTAATATTATAGTAGAATTCAACTTGTTAAAAAATATATATATAATAAGGACAATTTGATAAAATATACATCCCAATAATTTTTTATTCCTTTAACCAAACACTGTAATATTACATTCCTACTAAACGAACCAAACACAAAATACAATATTCTCAGTAATCTTATTCCCGTTGATAATCCTATTCCCACTGGTAATTTTACATTTCGTGAACCAAACACACCCTTATGATTAGCCAAATTACCGGTACCAACAATGCTTTTACCTTGCTTCTTCCATAGTCCAAATCCTCAACAATATAACCTAGGAAGTAAAAATTTATAGCAGCAGTGTTGAAACGACCAATAATATTTAATCTATGTTCTCTATTTCTTTGTCCTGTGAAATGCGTTATTATATCTTAAGTATCTGATAATCATAAGTTTGTCTTGTGGTTAGATTAAATATAAAATTGTATATGTTAAATTTATATCATTACTTATTTAATAACCCGATGTGGATTCGTTAATTTATACGAATTATTCATTTATTAGGTTTTAATGATACTTTGAAATCGAACTGATCCAAAATGACGGAGGATAGTTAAAGCCTAAAACACTTTAAAAAGAAATACATAAAACACTTTGATAATAAATCACTAATATCTGTAGGACATGTCCATATAAAATGATCCATTAATCCACATAATAACACTAAATAAGGACATTGACAATCTCAAATATGTTTTGATTTTTATAGTTGCAATGGCAACCACTTAATATGAATCCTGAAAAAATCTACTTTCGATATATATAAGCAATTGTGAAATGCTCTCTACTTTTATGCCTCTTCGCATATTTGGATACACATTGGGGCATCGAAATATTACACAATAAATAATTAAAGCATATTTAGAAACAGTCTCATCAAGACAGTTTGGCCGAGTGGTCTAAGGCGCCAGATTTAGGCTCTGGTCCGAAAGGGCGTGGGTTCAAATCCCACAGCTGTCAATCCTTCTAATAAAATAATTTTCTAATAATGATAGAAATGCTTCTAATTTTTGAATAAAAAAATGATTAATAAATTCGAAATAAAATTAAAAGAGGTTGGTTTTTTTTATTGATTTCTCATGCCATTAACAGTCTTGTTTTGTTAATGAAGTAGCGTCTCTAGGATCTAATATCTTGGAAATTGGGTTCTACATAAATTTAGAGCACAATAAAGCAAGGGCAAAAAATTTGGCTATTTGACCAATCCGACACGTCTTTAACAAATATTTATCTTTTTAGCACCGTTTAATATATATTTCTCAAAATAGCACCCTTTCGGCTGAGCTGGCGAAAGGCGCGTCTCCGGGGACGCGTTTTACCCGTGTTTTCGCTGAGTTGGATGCCACGTGTGGAAGGCGCATCCCCGGGGACGCGCCTTCACTGACTCGACTGCCACGTGTGAAAAGCGCATCCCCGGGGACGCGCCTTCCATTAAATGCCATAAATGCCCCCATCCGTTTTCCCTAACTACCCCCTCCTCCCCTATATAAACCCCCTCAACTCTCCCTCATTCTTCACACCAAAATCATATTCTCATCTCTTATATAACTCAAATTCTCCAACTATTTGAGTTTTAAATTTGTTATTAGTGGTAAGAAATTTATTTTTATGTTAGTATTTTTTTAAATAGTTATTATATTTTATATTAATATATTTATGTAAATATCATTTTTTTATTAAAATAATATTTATATAATTATTATTTATTTAGAATTATTAATTTTTTTGTGCTAATTATATTGTTTTGTCTACAGTTATAATGGAAAACGAAATGCTGTTGCGATTGGATATTGATCATATCTCCAGACATTTTAGCGATATTGTAATATTTTTTATAATTAATGTTAATATTTAAATTTATTTTTATTTTAAAGTTATTATGAATTTATATTAATTTTTATTTTTTATAATGTATATTATTTAGGATACTGATCGTGTTTTAGAGACTTTTATTAAAAATCCACCTATACCGACACCGGAACGTATTTTACCATATTTGGCTTCTGCCGGGTTCGGGTATATTGCAACAATTATTGGCGGTCGCAAACTCGAACATGTCCTAATTTCTGCACTGATTGAGAGGTGGAGGCCCGAGACACACACTTTTCACCTTCCATGTGGAGAGGCCACAATTACATTGGAGGATGTCTCTATGCATCTGGGGTTTCCCGTCGACGGAAATATGATGTGTGGTATGGCGGATGGTGATTGGCAATCAATGTGCATTGATTATCTTGGAGCTGCTCCGCTATAGTTTAATGGAGGTAGAATAGCTTTATCTTGGTTGAAAGCTAATTTTGAGGTTTTAAATGAAAATGCTTCAGAGGATCAAGCAAAGGCATGTGCTCGGGCATATATTCTACAAATAATTGGAGGAATATTGATGTCCGACAAATCTCGCAACCAGGTGCATTGTATGTGGTTGCGGCATCTGATCGATTTTGATGAAGCTGGAAGATATAGTTGGGGCGCTGCAGTTTTGGCATTTCTATTTAGAGAAATGTGTCGGGCGACGAATTATAAGAAAACTGCTATCGGTGGATGTCTTCTGCTTCTACAATCATGGGTGTGGTTCCGCATGCCTTTCTTATGCCCGATCGTGAATGAACCATACGTATTCCCCTTATTGTTGAGGTAATTTTCGAACTAAATTTTGATTTAAATATTTTCAATTAAATAGGGTGATATTTAGTTTATATTATATTTCATAGGTGGTCGATGAAAAGAAAGGACCATAAAAGTATACCTACTGGGTTAAAGGAAATTCGTTTACTTATTGATACGAAAGCTGGGTCTGAGGTATGTTTTTAAATTTGTTTAATTATTAATATTTTAATTTAAAATGTTAGATATAATTAGAATATTTTATTTATTTGAATTGTATATTTATATTTCAGTTTCAGTGGATACCTTATGCGAGCGATGAAGTGAAAGCTTGCATCCCACTCCACCTTAGTGGGTCATTAGAGGTATGGATATCGGTTATACCTCTTATATGTTATGCTATTATTGAGTGGCATCCAGTTGATCGCGTGCTCCGTCAGTATGGTTGTACGCAATATATTCCTGGAGCACCTAGGAATTTAGACGACGTGCATAACATAGATAGACGAGGAAAGAAAGATGTTAACTTGGTGGTGAGACACAGAGATTGGATTGCGCTTTGGGAGAACCGATATACACTGTTGGCCCCTCGACAATATTACGCTGAAACTGGTCATATGGTTACAGATAACTATATGGACTGGTTTAATGAAAATGGGAAGCCGTTTCTACTTTCGGCGGAAGCACGAGGGGTTAACATTCCTAGGCGCCGAGAAAGACGTCAACCGTCTCAATATCATCGTCCCCCGGCGCGTGGACGGAGAGAAGGCACTATCGGTTCTGCATCAGTCCCACCACAACATCCTTATCCGTCGATGCCGCAGGGGTACATGCCCAGCCCTCCACTTTATATGCCAAGCCCACCAGTTTATATGCCATCTCCGCATGGTTACATTCCGAGCCCGCAGGGTTACATTCCGAGCCCGCAGGGTTACATTCCTAGCCCGCCAGGTTACATGCCTAGCCCGCAGGGTTTTATACCATATGGAGGTCCATATACGACTATGTTTAATGATCCAGCATATGGTTCATATGCATCTTATTTGGCTGGTGGTGCTTCTCCGCAGACACCTCAATCTCCATCTGGATCATAGACATCA